TATATTATATCAATGATGAAAAAATTGATAAAAGCGAGGAATAGTCAAAATAAACAATAAACAACTCTATTATTAATTTAAAATTTTAAAGTAGGAAAAGTACTTTGCTGATTATTATGGTTGATCCAAATAATGTATGCATAATAAAGAAAATTGGAGGTTAAACAATAAAAAAATAATTTTACAATCTATCACACTTCCAATAGTTCTACTGAAATTCGTAAAATTTAGATTTAAAACAAATAATTGATTAATTAGAAAAAATAAAGGAATTTGATATTTTTTATAATATTAGAATTATTTTTAAAATTTAATAGGTAGAAGGATTTTACTCAACTTTTTTATTAAGCAATAAATCTTCTTATTGAAAGTTCATCTTAATAGAGAAAATACACCGACAAGAAAAAATCTGAGATAAATGCACTTTATTCTAAACTCAGAATATAGTCTTGGCTGAATAAACATTATTAGAATGATTCTGTGATCTGGTTTACTCAAATTAACTTTTTACTCTCCCTATTTTCATTAGATTCATTCTGAGTATCTTGGTTTAAAATTAATAAGGTTTCGATTAATTTTACTTTATTTTGTTATAAATTTATCAATTTTATTAAGAAATTTTACAAAATTAAGTGAAATTCTTTGAGTCAATAAAATATTGCGTCTTTCCAATTATATATAATTTATTGGAAATTTTTTATAATTTATTTTTTCTATATTTCCTATTGCATTAAAATTTAACTCCCTAAATAGTTATAAAAGATTTTATTATAATTTATTTAAAAAATTTTTAAGATTTTGATAATATTCTTGTATTTTAATTCAGTAACTTTTTGTAAAAAAAAGAAATGAAAAAGGTTTGCTTAATTGAAAAAGATTATTATTTAATTTTCCAATCTTATCTTATTTGAAAAAAGAAGTTAAATCACCAAAAAATGAAAAAATCCACTTTATTGTTGCATTTAGCTTTAGAGTTTATGTAATTTTTTACTTTTTTTACTAATTAACGTAATACATATAAATATGAAGGGGCCCATTCATATATTAGTCAATAATTTTAAAATCAATCTTTTTGCGTTTACTTTACCTCTTCTTTTCAAAAATTCAGAAAAAAAGAATTTGAGTTAGTGTAAAATAGATTAACAATTTTAAGCACATAAGAATCATTCAAATGAAATTCTGAGCAATTTAAAACTAAAAGATATTTTTTTTATTAAATTTTATAAAAAAAAACAAACAGATATTTGATTATTTGCTTTCAATTTAATTAATAATCTTATATATTCTGGTCATTATGTAATAAATATTTCAATTATTATCTAATGACACTAAATTATTTAGGTATTAGGATTTAGATTTATATAGTTCCTTAAAAGTTTTGTAATATCATATTTTGGGGATTTTTCATCAAAGAAGAAAGTCTAGTTTATTAGAAATATAATTAAATTTTTTAGATAAAGAAGGCTATTTTATATATTCTTTCTGAAAAATATGGCACCATAGGTGAAATTAACTTTGCATATAGATTTCTAACTAAAAAATATTAATTTTAAAATTAAGTCCTGTGGTTGAGTACAAGTTTATAATAATATTAAATTGATGATACTTCTATTTATATAAAATATGGTAATTTTCATGCACTTTTTAACAATTCTAGTGATTATTTATTTTCTTAAACAAATCATATTATTATGCTAATTTGATATCTTTTTCTTGAAAGAGTAAGATAAAGACGAAGATACTGAAATACTTTATATAATGAGATTTGAGTTTAAAACAATAATCTTCATCTACATTATTGTGGATTTAGATATAGCACAAAAATAGTTTAAGTAAAATTATTTTCTTAAAAACAATATCTTATTGAAATTTTACTTAAAAAATTTTTATAAAATGATAATGATTAGAAGGCACAAAAAACAATTAAAAATTATGAAAAGATATTTAATCAACAGGATTATTAGATTTTCTGGCTACTTAGATATCATATGATAACGTTGTAACTTTGATAGATAAGGTTAAGAATATTTAAAGTATATATTATTTCTACAATAATTTTCTTTCAATAATCACCACAGATTATATTCTTATTTTACTTGTTTCTTCTATACATATTCTATTAATAAATTTTGATTAAAGTAATTTTAGCATTTCTCTTTAATTGGTGTTTTCAATTAATTTTAATTCAATAACATTTTAATTTTAATTTCAAAATCAGTAATTATATAGAAAATAAAAATAATTGATAATGAGTTTACATTTATGTAAACTGCTATTTTGATCATATAATGAAATAGTTTATTACTGATTAAATTACTCCAAAATGATTATTTAATTAAACTGATAAATCTTTTCTAACAATCATTTTGATTTTATTTTCAAAAATACAGATACCAACATAACTATAATAATAATTTAATATTTTCCAATAAATTGAATCCTTCTAATTAATGTCTTGAATAAACTTCATTATTCTGAAAATAATAATTTAAATAGAAAGATTAGTTTTTACTATTTCTATAATTTATTGAATATTTCTTGATTTCATTTTAATCTTAATCCTCATCTTTTTAGACCAACATAATCTTTGAATTAAGAATCTTAATCCTTTAAGTAAAATAAAAAATGTTTTAAATCCTTAACTAAAATTAAATACTTAAATAGCAAAGATAATACAACCATTCAACATATTGAAGCAACCTTGTAAATTCTTTTTATACATCTCTAAATCAGTATTAGATAAACATCTATTCAATTTTAATTTAATTTAATAAATTAAATATAAATTTATAAGATTAAGTTAAATAGGGTTTAAATTAATGTAGAAAAAATTAAAATTAAAATTAAAGTTATTAGAATTTTAAAAAATCAGTGCATATAATAATTTAATATTTTTTGATTAATAAAATCATTGTTTCATATAATGATATTCATCTTAAATAGTTTTAGATTTATTTCTTTTAGGATTGTATATCACATAATGCTAAAATATAAATATTAAGTCAAAAACCAAAACAATACAACTTAAAATAAATTTAACAATGTTCATTTCAACTAAGTTAGCACTTTCTAAATAATAAAATTAAAAAAAATACTTCCATTTAATTGATCAATTAACATTTATAAAAAGGATAAAATACCTCCAATAAATGCCAATAATATATTTAATATACTCCAACCTTCAGTTGATTTTCTTTAATAGTTTAAATAAACTTAAGGAACATTTTTTATTAAAGTTACAAATAGTTTTTCATATCCCATCCAATATAAAACATTTAATTTTTCATTTTAAAAAATCACTTACCAGCCAAATATCCAAGTCAAAATTATATATATTATAGTTTAAGACCACAAAAATATTAATAAAATTATACACCATAAACTTACTCCTGGATTATCTCCTTTTTTATAATAATAAGCTATTTATATTATTGTTATAATTGTTATTCCTACAGAATGAAATGCAAAAATGAGATCTTATAAAGTAATATTCCCACTAAATGGCCATCCATTCTCTCCACCTTTAAAATACCCAGCTGATGTATAAGCACTTAAAAATAAATATCCACTTAAATTAAGCCCTAAAAATTCAAATGCTATTCCTTATACACTTTATTAAAACAATAATATACTGTTTCACTTTAAAGTTTTCATATAATTATCCATAAAAACTAAAAGACCAACAAAATATATAAGCCCAACCTATTATATTACTTATAATATCAAGGGCTTTATTATTCGTTACTTCTGAGTGATAACTTTAAAGCACCGGTTCAAGTTATGATAAATAAAACATTCAATTTTTATTTATTTTTATTATTCAATTAATTGTTTTCAAACTTAAAACTTATTCTTATTCTTAGAATTTCTAAAATTTTTTTAAATCCTCTTTTCTTAATTATATCATTATATAATTGTTTAATTCTTAAATATTTTTTTCATAAACGGAATTAGAAAAAAATAATTTTTCACTAAACTTGTTGAAAAAAATTTTTTTTTGTTTATTTTTACGTTATTTGTTATAATCCTATATTAAAAAATAAATTTGTAAAATGTTTTAAAACTATAAGTATAAGTTGTATCTTGATTCATTAATTTGATTATGAATTTATCATCTTTTACAAATTTTTATTTAAATATTTTTTGTAATAATAATTATTTTATTTATAACAGATTAATATAAGAAATTTTGTAATTTTAATTTATTTTGAACACTTCTTTTTAGTTTAAATTAAAAAATTCAAAAAGAATATATATTAAAGATAATTTTCACATAAATATATTAAAACAACTTTAATAAATTTCAAAGATCGTTTATTTAAAACTGTCATTTATAAATTACATAAAAAAATTCAGATTTAAATCTAAATATTATTAAAATTATTGAAATTGTATATATTTTATGATTAATTTTTATATAGAATATGATTACGATAATTTTTATCAAAATAAAATTTAATTAATTTTATATCATTTCTAGCTTCAATTGATTCTAAATTAATAGATTGCTATCAAGGAAAGATTATGTATAAAATAAAATTCTTTATTTTTTAGTGATTAAATAAATTATTTAAAATTACAATTACTTTTTTCTGAAAAATTATTTTTTTAAAATATAGTATAAAATTATAGATATCATAGAAGAAAAAAATTATATTAAAAATAAAATAAGATTGACTAGAGCAAAATTTATCATAAATATTGGATAGAAACTTCCATTTAAATTTCAAATATTTAAGTAAAAAAATTGTTAACTAATATTTTGTTTTATATTTTTAAGACTAATAATGATAATTTAGTATAATAAAAATTTCCAAATTTCTCAAATTCAGAAATCTATCATGGTAAACTATGAATAATGATTAATAAATGTATATATTTCTTAAAATAGTTTATTATTAATTTATAATAATTATTTTAATAATAAAATTAGAATAAGAAAAAATTTGAAATCCTTTTTATAAAAATAAAAAGGATAATTTGATTTTTAGCAAAAAGTTTGTAAACCTAAAATTTTATATTTTAATAATGAAATTCATTCCTTTGACTCACCACTATCAAACTATGGCTGTCATTTATGAAAAATGTGCTGATATATCAAAATAGATAGATGCTCTTTCATAAACATCTAAACCTAATGTTTTGATTGAAAATGAAGATACATAATAGCAAGCTAAGATTATTCCTTAAGTTTAAGAATAGGAAATTATATAAAAAGATAAAAAGCTTTTAGATAGACAACTTTAAAAATAGATAGAAAACTTATCATTAGATAAATAAGATTCAAAGAAAGATTAGAGGAAAAAATTTTAAAAAAGAATAAAATAGAAGAAGTTCGGAAAAACAATCGCTAAAAAATAGCTTAAATAGAAAGTATAAGTAACTTGTGATCATTGTGATAAAGTGTTTGAAACAGAGAAGCTTTATTAAAGACATCAATATTAATTGATGTATAGAAAAAAACTATAGAAAAGAAAATTGATAAAACAAACAAAGGATGTCATTTAGATTGAAGAAAAGGAAGTTAAGTAAAGTAAGAGAGGCAGAAAACCTAAAAATGCTTAAAAAAAAATTGATTCAATAGAAATTTGCATATGATATGGATTAATTTAATATTAAATTAATAAATATTTTAATTATAAATTTATTATTTCTTGTGAAGAAATCGATCAAAATTTAATTATCATATTGTAATCATTTTTATAACCAAATAATAAATTGTAATAATATAATGTTTATTTGAAAATCTATTTTATAATAAAATTCCTTTTTTAAAATCTTCATATTATCATTAATTTGCATTTCATATATATGAGGATTTGGCAATAATAGTTAATTCCATATTAGAGATCCGAGCCTGGAAGAAAGATGTTCATTTTTAAATAATATAATTATTAATCTACATCACTAAATGACTATTATTTTTTTTAATTTAATTTAACTTTTACATAATTAAGATGTTTATATGAAGCATTTTGGTTTTTTTATAAAGTCTTATTTGTGATTTAAAATTTTAACTTTTTTGAATCTCAAACCATATGAAAATTCTTTCTGATTGAGTAAAAGTTATGAAAAGATGGGACTGTTAAAAAAAAGAGTAACTTGTCATTTCAGTAAATAAAATTGAAATTATATTGTTTAACAAATTCCTTATTAGTTAACTAAGACTTAATCGAGCAATTTTTATTCAAACAAACCTATTTTTATACTATTTCTTAATAATTTTATATGTTAAATTAATTAATTATATATTCTCAATTTAGATTATTTATAGCCATTATTATCATTTAATATATCTTTTTATTAGTTTGAAGTTTTAAGATTTCTATAATTTGTCCAGATTATTGATTTTAAATAAAATGGATTTTTAATTAATTTCTAGACAAAAATAATGAGGTGTAAAATATTGATAAATAAAATATAAATAATATGACATATAAAATAGTTTATAAAAAAGATGGTAATTTATATTCTTATAATTTTGAAGTAATATTCACTAATAAATTTGATATAAAAATAGTATAATGAGGGCAAGCCAATAAAAAAATAATTTAAATAATGAGAGAAAGTGAGTTTGTTGAAAAATATCAAATGCATTTGAATAATAAACTTATTCATTTATAAATGACCAAAGTTACTAAATAATTAACATAATCGAGAAAATGAATTGAGATAAGTTTTCGATTGACAAAAGCAAATGTAAATCAAATAATAGAATGACAATATACTGATGATTAAAGGAAAGCTTATATAATTTGTAATGGTTAAAGAAATCAAAAATAATAAGGGAATTTAAAGTTTGCATCTTTTTTATTTAATTTTGATTAACTTTGGAATTAAGGAATGTAAAGAAGTAAGCTGCATCATTTTTCTGAATAATTATAATGATAATAATAATAGTTATTCAAAATGCTAAAGCAAATATTGAATTTTTTAGAGTCTACTATGTAGTATTTATATAGTATATTTATAATTATTAAATAAATAAAAATTATTCATGAAAAGACATAGCATTGGAAAAAAATTTCGTAAAATAAAAGCTTTGAAGAAAGCTGATCCAAATGCAATAGTTCCTGAAGTACCATAATAATTACAGGAATATATTAATTAACTAAATTCAAAGGGATTGAAGACAAACAAAGTTGAATATGCAATTTTTTAAACAAAAAATGGATTGAAATATCCTGGTTTGATTGGTACTTAAAATTAGTATAATAGCTACGGAGGCAATAAAACCAAATGATACACTTGTTACTTTACCAGTAGATTAATTATTAACAACGAGACATGCATTTGAATCACCATTAAAGAAAATATTTATGGAATATCCATAAATGTTTAGTCCAAAATTCTTACTATAATGGGAAGAATATTAATTCCTAACATTTTTACTATATGAATATTAGAAAGGTAAAGAATCTTAATGGTATTTGCTAATTTCTAATTTACCAAGAGAGATTGATAATTTAGTATTTTGGAAGTCAGAAGATTAAGCCTTATTAAAAGATAAAAATTTAATCAGGGCAGCTCATAAAGTTTATCGAGATTTTATGATTGCTTTTAATACTCTTAAATATATATCAGATAAAAATCGAGATCTTTTTAAACCTGAAACAGTAACATTAGAAAATACTATTTGGCTTTACACACATATTCATTCAAGATGTTTTGGAGGTTAAGGATTGAAATATACTACTATGGTACCATTTTGTGAATTGTTTAATCATGAATAAGTTGATGTGTGTTATGATTTTTAATATAAGGGTTAACCTTCAAGATATGATGATTAATTTATGTATAAGAGAGTAGTTAAAGGATAAGAGAATGTTGATGCTGATGATTTATCACTTTCCTCTTCTGAAAATTCATAAGATTCATAAGATGATATTAGTGATTCTGATTTTTTTACTAGTCAATATTTGGAATATGAAGAATTTGATTTTGATGAATTTAAATAATTTTCTACTCAAAGTTTTCATAAAAATTTAACTAAAAATTCTGAAATAAAACCATTATCAAATGAATCATAAGAAGAATATTATTAAAGAATTAAAAATCATTAAGAATTATAAAATAAACAAAGAAAAGAATTTATTATTAAATTACAAATTTAATAAGATGTTTTCTAATTAGCTATTGAATGTAAATCATTTTTATTCAAAAATATTGATTTTGGAGATAATATTTCAATTATATTTTTAGGTTAAGTCTTTCATTTATTAGATTAAACTCTTAATGAATATTTTACAGATGAAAAATCATCAGCTAAAGCAAGAGAAGAATTTAAAAAATTAAAAATAACTATTACTATTTATAAAGAATACTTATACAATTTTCTAAATGTAATCATGAAAAAACCAATTTAATAAGAAAAAATACCATTATTTGCTTAAAAAATTGGTCGTAAAATAACAAGAGGATTTGAAAATTTGTAATAAGTATTAGCTCAACCAGTTGATAGAAGTATTAAATACTATCCTACTAATTGGGAAAAAGATACTTTTTAAAATTTTTTAATGAGAACAAGAGATCCTTTCGAAAAAGGATCTTAAGTATACTTTTGTTATAATCGATTATCAAATAGAACAATGCTCATGAAATATGGAATGGCTTTAGAATATAATAAATATGATAATGCATTCCTAAGAGTTGAATATTATAAGTATCTTTAATTAAATGAAGCTAAATGGATAGTACATAGATTTTAATTAAATAAATTCAAAAGATTCAAATTAAAATTTACAGCTCCTCCTTATGATTTAATCGTATTTTGTAAATCAGTTTATTGGTAAATTATAACATATATTTTAATATAGGACTTTAAATTAACATTCTGTAGATACACTTTTTAAAATTAAGGATTTATAATTAGAAAAAAAAGCATTATCTTTGGCACTTCAAATAATAATTGAAGAAAATGCAAAATTTAAAGAAACAATTGAAAACCTCTAGGAATAATTGAATGATGAAAGCATAGATTATCATGAATATTTTGCGATTATTTATAGATTAGAAAGACTTAGAATTTATCGTCACAATATAAGGTAATTTAATTTATTTAAAAAGTCTTTTCAATATATGTATTGTGGTTGTTGATAGACTTTTGAAAGGAGTTCTTTTTGAATAAGCCATTCTATAAACTGAATTTGATGGAGACTTTTACCATACATATCGTTATATATTAAGGATATATTTTGAATAAATCAAATTAGCTGTCTAATAATCAAAATGAGTTATTAAAATTAATTTATCAACAAAATTTCAACATCATTTTTATCATAATATAGAATTCATATTAGTTAATATATACTTAAACATAATTTATAATGAAGAGTTAAGACATTATCTATTAATTAAAACAACAATATTTAAGTTGTTTAATTGATTGTTGATATTGAATTTGCAATTAATTAAATAAAAGCTCTACATCAAACACTTAATGAGCTTTATTAAATGCCACTTAGAATATATACCAGTAAAGTTTAACTTACATGAATATCATCTATAAATGTTTTTATGCATGGAATCACTTAATTTTATTGCTAAATTTAAAAGTTATACTTTGCTAGTTAAAAGGGTTCTTCTTTTACTTCAAAATTAAAAAAAAACCAAATGGACATCTCTTCTAGACATTATTTGGTTAAAGTCGACTATCAGCCTAAATTAATTTTAATTACTTAACAAGGCTTTGATTTAAAAATAATTAAAGATCTCTACAATTACAATAACTAAATTGAAATAATACTTATTTTATTTTTAAATTAACTTAAATTACTTCTTAATATAATAAACGTTTAAGTATTATGTGATTCTGTAATAACAATAAAATAATCCTTCTTTATAACTACCGATTATATTCATCAAAATAACCGATAATAATAAACCGAGTGGTTTGTAAGGTTAATTACAAAACATTCAATAAAACAACTGAATTTCAATCGACATACTAAAGTTTTTCCCTTTAATTACACCAATTAAACGTTTTTAAAGGACAACTTCTAGATTTACTTTAATATTCTATTCAAGATAAATTTTTCATTTACTTAAACAACTTGATTAAAACAAAAAACTCTTAAAATTTAGACTAAAAAGATTAAAATCTATTGGTAGTATACTTTTTATATTATTCCTATAAATTCATATTAATATGTTCTCATTAAATTATAATTTTAAAGTATTGTATATTTTATTTTTTACAGATATTGTATTAGAAACAAGAAAGCAGTTTTATCAATATTAACACTAATAAGATTATTTACTAATAGATAAATTATAATTGCAATGTAATTTTGAAAAGGATTATAAATTAATTTAGAATAAATTGCTTTTAATTTAATATTATTATAATAATAACATCTTATTTTTTGATCATCAAAAATAAATCTCTTTTAATATTTTTTTTGATATCTAATTTAAAGTGTTTTAATATAATCATTCTTTTGTCTATAGATTCATCACCTCTTTATATTATATAATTGCTATGAAGATATTTTATTTTTTAAATTATGTTTAGGTTAGATTCAAATAATTGTTTTTTTTTATCTAAATCTTTGTATTAATACTAAAATATTTATTTTTTCTTTTTATAATATAACTTTTATTTTCAATTTTTATTTCCTTAATTGTCAAGATTATGTTTATGATAATAATAAAAACTACTTATTTTAGTATATAAACTTTATATTTCTGCATTTATTTGTTAAGATAAATAAATAATAATTCTTAAATTAATTTCTCATAAAATTAATAAAATATGTTATTTTTGAAATATAAGATGTAAATGGTTCTATTAGAATTAAACAATGAATTATTCTGCTTAATAATAATATCAAATAAAAGAGAGTTAAATAATTAATTAAAAATATATTAAATATTTATTTTATAATTTATTATTCATCGCTTCATTTTACTCTAGCAAAAATCTAAATTAAGAATTTTAAGAATATCCTTTAGTTTTACTGCCCATTCATCATTTGGATTAATCATTAATAATTTTTTCTAATACATCAAAATTTATTAATATTTTCCTTGATCTTGTATTTTATAAAATACTATAATTACTTAAGAATAAACAATTTCCTAAAAGAAAAAATAATTGGATATCTTTGCATTTAAGTGAAAAAGTGTTGTTAGGAGCTATTGTTAGAGCTTAATCTAAACATTTTAAATTATCATCATATTTCTTTAACAATCTTAAATTTAATTTAATTAATAATAATTATTAATTTAATGTGATTAAATATACCTTTATCATTTAATGAATAAACATGGTTAGGGTTTAGATTTAATGCTTTATCCAACCAATTTATTGCTTTCTCATAGTTATTCTACAATCTTAAACATGAGCCTATTAATTTAATGTGATTTATATCTTTACACCATAGGAAAAATGATTATTGGGATCTAATAAAATAGATTTATCTAAAATTTGAATAGCTTATCAAGATTAATTATCCCAATATAATTTCAAACCTATAAATATAAATGATATAATTACCTTTATCATATAATTTTTTAGATAGTTTTATAGTATTAGCATCATCTATTTAATAATAATTAAACTATGATATTGTATAAAATTTTAGATTTAAATAAATATTAAATAAGTATAATTGTAATTATTCATATAAATTATTGAAAGAATGTACTAATTCATTAGTCTATAAAAAATAATCGTTTTAATTAATTCAAAAGATCATTAATTTATTAAGAGTTCAAATTTGTTAATCTTTCTTATAATAATGAATATTTTTATCTGATTCCCTTTTTTAATTAAGAAAGTGATTGATTTCTACATATTAATTAAAATCTTCTAATAAATTATCAGATTCATTATTTTTATTTTGAATGAATTAAATCAAACTATTAATTTTTTCGACATCATCTAAATAACCAGGATGGATTCCTTTCTTTAAACATTTAAAACAGTTTAATTAAAATTCTGTACAATATTCATGATAACAAACACTTTTGATCTCATCTTTATGGTCATCTCATTTTTGTTTTTATATTTTCAAATTATTAAATATAAATAACTAATTACATGAACATTCTATACGATATTATTCTCTCATTGAAAAAAAAAATGAAAATCTAACAATTAGTGATAAAGATTATGTAATTTTGATGACTAAATTAGAATTTAGAGATGACTGAACATGAATTGTTCGAATGTTTAATTTTTTAGATACTTCATATAATTTTGGTGCATTAATTGCATCTACATTATCATTAGATCCATATCTTTTAATTTCAATTTATACCTAAAATAATTATGTTGTAAGTTTCGCAAACTATTCCCTTCTCTTAAAAATGATTATTATAAATTAAATCATTCTTAATCTTGAAGAAAGTAATCTCATGGATTACATAATTTCATAAAAATATACTTAAACCACCTTTTTGGTTATTAGTGTTAGCCAAAATTGGTTATTTCACATCCCCAACATATATAAATACAACGAGTTATATACATTTTAACTATTTATTCTTTTTAGTTTTCTCTTTATACCCACATGTGGAATTTTTCAAAATCAACAACTATTTATTTAAAAAAATACCACTCCATATATGCTTTTATTGTTAGATTAGAATTATAATCCTCATATACAAAAGAGTATCGTCTTTTTTTTTTATAAACAATATTATTGACATATAAGTTTTACATTCTTTCGGTTTTATTTCTTATCAGGTGTTTCTTTTGCTCTTATAGTTTTTCTTCTTCTTCTATTAATTTATATATCAATTCTTTACATTTTCTGATATAGAAATTTCCCTTTTTTGTTGTTAGATTAAATGTCTGTGGATTTTTTATTATTTAATTAAGTGATTTCTCACAAGACTTTAAATGGCTTGGAAAAAATAAAAAAAATAAATTTGATTTGAGATCTCCCAACCAACTCAAAAATAGTGTAGGTAACAAAACCCAGCAGGGCGAACTTCCACCTGTGTTGAAGTTTGGTAACATAGACTTTTGAACAAATCTTGAAACTCTGATGGCTACGCTATCATTTTTTTATATCTTAATTTTACACATCTACTTACCTCTAGTACTGATTTAGTGATAAATAATTTTTTTTTTTTCTATTTTGATTCAGAATCTTTAAAATTTATTTATAGCTGAGGCTATAAAATTTAATTCATTTATTATTAATTAGATAATATACAACATCTCATTAGCTATATAAATTGTTCATGATTTCTTTAGAAATATAATTAAAAAAAACATGGTTTGAGATTATATATTTCTATTTCTTTCTCAATTATATAATGCTCATCAAGTTCATTGCCTTAAGAATTTTTTTTTTGAATCTTTATCCTTAGAAATAAATTAATTACATTTTAATTAAACAAACTAAATTATTGAAAAATAGTTAAAGAAACCCTAGAGTATTTAATCAAAGTTATTATAAAAATAGCACTTGCAATTTGAGAAAGTTCATAATTAAGATAATAAAATTAAGGATAAAAGCATATATCAATCGATCTTATTAATCTGAAATTCTTTTTATTTTCTTAATGAATCCAACAATTTACATCTATTTTTCGATCAAACTTGTGGAAATCTACAGACATCAATAAATACAATCATTATGATGAGATTTATTTGATTTTCTCTAATTACTTTATTCGACTCTGAAGAAATAATTACAAGTTTTTGAAAATTACATGTTAAGGGAGATTAAGGTTTATTAAATCAAAACTATCACCTTTCTTTTCTATCTATTGCATTTGCCACTCTTTTTAAAAATGTTTAGACTTTTTATAGAGGCTGACAAAGAACAGTTACTTAATACTTTTTGTTTGTAATATAATAAATTTCTTAGTCTTTTCATATCAAATTATTGGATAATGAAACTTCTCTGAATCCCAGAATATTGCTTAATGCTAAGTCAACAATATAAAACTTTTGATTCTATTAGTAAAATAAAAACTAGCCTAATGATGTTATCATGCATTTACTTATTTTTGGATTATATATAAACATAAATTTTTATACTTTTTACCTATAAACAAAATTTTCAGTAAAAATAGGAATAATGTATTAAAGATTATTGTTTTTTTAGTTGTTCGATGAAATGAAGAAATATTTATATTGCCTTTTTATTATTGAATTAAGCAATCAAAATTAATTTAGAAGAAATAGATTGAAACTACTCTAATTTCCTTATACTGCAAACAGAGTAAGTATCCTCGTCATGCTTATCGCTCAAGACTATGATTAAACTTATTAATGCTTATTTCTTAATTAGAAACTATTTTAATATAAGGCTATTGATTTATTTGTTGACTAATAACCAAAAATCACATTTTTTGCTTTGGAGAAACTATAAAAATAAAGTATTTTTTAAAGTAAATGCAATACTTCTCTCAAAAAGTTGCAAGTAGTATTCAAAAAATGAGAAACACATTGTACATGATTAATTCATTAATTCAGATGAATGTATAAAGATTAAATTTATAAATATATTTTCTAGTTCCTTTTTCCTTTTTAAACTATTGTTTTATACATTCTTATTCACAATTAAACATCTCTACTTTATATATTATTAAGGAAACTAAAAATAATCATCTATATTTCCATATTAAACATTTACTTCTTTTGTCTTTTAAAATTATTTATTAGATCTATTCATCTCATAAAAATACATTCTATTGTACAAAAAGGTATCTATCACATTTTGTATGTTCAAGCACTTGATCCATAATTCCTCTTTTTTGAA